TTTTTTACATCTACGAATCGACATCTTTGACAAAATATCCTGCTATAGACTAATCTTTACTAATTTTCCCAATAACGTCAATCCTATGCTGCCTTTGTTTTGATTGTTGTAGCCGTTCCCAATATGCTATCCAAATTTATATGTTTACCTTTTTTCTTATGATTTTTTTTATATTTTCTCATATTCTTAATGCTTTTATTTTTGACACTTTCATTTTACTCTTTTTTATTTTCTGAATAGGCCAAAATGGCAATTATTATACATAGAATTTCTAGGCAGCCAATCCATTCATCGTCGAAAACGAGATTTTCTTATGACTATTTATCTGACATGCTTTTGTGTTTAATGTTTTTTTCCTATTTTTATTATTTTCTTTAATAATACAAAATTATTTCTTTATATATAAATTTGACTGGTGCACTTGCATTTATTTATTAGCTTATTATCTATGCTTAATGATTTTTCATACCATTGTTATTTAAAAGCTCATTTCTCTCCAGTTGTGCAATTTTGTTAATTAATCGGATAATATCCTTCAACTAAATTTTTGCATATCCCATCTGTTTTTATCTCATTCGATGTTTGTGCTATAGGAATTGGCTAGTAAAGCAGTCTTCAAAAACATGATCTGGCTACTGGGTAGCATGATTCATGGTTTGGAGCAGAGTTGTACTAATCGTGGCCTTGGTGGCCTTTCCAGCCTAATGATGATTCTTCAAATTGCGCACACTCACTTCTGGGATCCAGCAACCGGTATGCAAAAGGCTCGAAAGCAAATACATGATGAATCAAAACCTACACAACGAGGAAAAATTGATTCGATTGAACAACAAGACACTAGGGGTCAAGCTGGTTTTCTTTCCGAGACTAGCCCCCAGTTGGTAAGATCAACAGAAAAGGCATTTACTCTTCTTTTTCGTTAAAACCTCTTCCTTCACCTTCTTAAAAACCTTAAGTTTGATCAAATTTTAAAATTTTTTGGTTCAGATATATTTTACTACTTTTTTAATGCACAGAATAATTTTTAACTGGTCATTTGCTCGTAGCCAATCTACCTCAAAATGTAGTCACTATATTATTTTAATGATTTACTAAGGTTATATGGACTATCCTAAATTCCTATGACGTAATATTGAATTTTAAGACATTTCCTTTGGAAACAAACTTTGAGATAATGATTAGTTTTGACCCTTTTTTCATTGTGGCGCCTTTGGTAGTCTAGATGTCACTCTCGTTATTAATTCGTCAGGGCTGTGTAAAGGGTAATAGATATCACTAAAGTGCATTTAGCACACCTACTCTGTAGCACTTATTTTGTCTAAACTAATTT